TTACTAGAATCCCACCACTCCACCACATAGTCACCGCAGTAGACGTTAGATGAGCGCTGTCGCTCTGCGGCACTTGTTTTATTAGTCGTGTGCAAAAAAGTGCCACTTATACACGAGTAAATACGGTAAGCAGGGTGCGAAATTAACGGGAGTCCGGAGTCAAATACTCTCTGATTTACTGTCGGACTCCCTGATTTGACATATGCAGGAGTCCGTGTGACTCCCTGAAAATTCTGCCATACTAACTAATTCGTTCCAGAGCACGGCCTCATGGAATTATCGTATTTTTTTCAGCTAACGTCCAAAGAAAATTTGGCAGACGTGCAACTGCATGAATCTTAAAAACAAGCACACGCGTTATTGTTCTTTATTTTAATTTTATTTATCTTTAATTTTAAACCTCAGACTGCGGACTCCCTCATTTTGCTGCGGACTCCCTCTTTTTGAGGTTAAAGAGTCCGTTGGACTCCCGTGTTCAAATGTTAATTTCTACCCCTGGGTAAGTACATATAGTGTTCGCCTACTACCATTATATTAGACTGACGAAGTCGGCATTATAATGGGTTAGCAAGTCGTTGAGAATCAACAAATGACCCCTGTGGAGCTTAGTGATATCAGCACTGATACGTATCCACACTTCAACCCCTTCCACATGCCCTACCCCTTATATACACTCACTCACTACATCTCACTCAGGGTGTTAGCCAGGGAAAAAATCAGGGAGTCTCACCATCTGAGCGAAGTGAGGTGGGAGGGGTTTTTAAATTTGGGATGCCGTCTCTATCAAATTTCATCCGTCTCATCCAAGAATCGGCCGTCCAAAAGACGGGTAGACGGGTCTCTGGCCAACACACTGCTATCACTACACCTGCAGGGACCACCTGTCCAAGATCAGTAGGGGAGAACACACCTTTGCTGATGCCATCGGGACCTCGCAGCACCGTGCACTCTTCTATCGTGCCGTAGGGGGCAAACATCAGTCGCACGTCGTTCTCCGTCAGTTTCTTCGAGACCATGCCGACGAACAACTTTCGGTACTCGATACCTGCAAGAGAACATCGATGACGAGACATCAGCGTGCGCGATGGCATGCGTGGGCTTTCGCAACAACACGCGTGTTGATATTAGACAACGCAAGCGTGTCAGCAAGAGCATTGTTGAGACGCTCCCCTATCGTCTTCTCTATGAAGCGGCCACGCCTGCGATGGTCCCCCCTTTTATTGAGAGTGCAATTTCAACAACAGACAGCACGTAGAGGAATGGCAGCATATATCAACGTCGGGGGGGGGGGTTTCCGGGCGAGGACATGCGGCAGTGAACCCGGTCAGTTTTTGAAACCTACTGGAATTTTTTGTACAGTACCCTGGTACACGACTGCCCGGCATCGAAATTCGCGTGAGTGCATGCGAAAATGCTTACAAAGTGGCCGAAACTATGCTAACAGCAAACAAAATTGTAATCTACAGTCGGAGATACGACGTGACCTAGTGGCTGTATTAACCTCAAATATATGTAACACACATAACAAACAAACAAGACATGAATACACACACGAATGATCGTGGTCTCGGCTGCATTCAGCTAGTACAGCCTACACGTAGCACTGACTTTACAAGGCAATAACTTCAGCATTATTACTTGCAGGTCACTCAGCAATTTAGGATATTACCTGCATGCAAACCACAAAAGTCATACCCCGGGATATATATATATATATATATATA